TTCTTATCCTGCTCTCCTGGAGTTTTTTTTTAACATTTTACAATACTGTGTAAATTTTTAGCTTTTCTTATGTGAACAGACTCTGTTTACTGACTGCCAAGAGTTTAGTATGACTTTGTAAACTGAAGCAACTATGAACCACAACTTAACACTGAAAAGAAGAATGCAAAAATCAAAGATCATTTTTTTTTTTAAGTCTACTGAAACGGCAGGTCTATGCTAGGGACAGTGAGACTTTTCTATATTATTCTTTCAGAGTGGATTTATTCATGAAATGTGTTAGCCTCTCTGAACAGTGACCTACTGTGTTTATCTTTATAAAGAATAAAATAAACCATTATTCAGAAGCACTTCCATTTGGGAGCTGTAGTGCCAAGTGTTAATGGCATTGCTATTCTACACAAAATCCATTTAGAGCCCTTCTTGACACAGTGTGCTCTTGTGGGAATACCCATGAAGCCTCCAGAGACTATACAATGTTCACTTGGTGTGTCTACTCTCGTCTCAGTGTCTGCCAGGCAGGCCAGTCCTTCACCAGTCCGTGTTGGTGCACATCTACGCCATCAGTATGGGTCACTTATAACTACTCACCACGGAGAGAAAAGTAAATCGCTTGTCAACAATGACAACTGTTCCCAAGTAGTGTGCATTCTAGAAAAATATCTATGTTCCATGGGAATTTTGGCAAAGCCATAGGTCTTAAAGAGATTTGAGATTCTCAAGAGATACCTTTTTTGCAATTACTTATTATGGAGAATACAAATATATACTCAGGTTGTTAAACAAATTTCTTACACTCTTTAGAATACAGTGGATTCCCTACCATCTTCATAAAGATTCCTCTCACTGGCATTTGAAATATTATCTTAAAATTTATGTTGTCTACTATTAAAATTCCATAGCCCACACATTTAGATCCAAAAATCCATTTGCACACATGCAGTAGATGATTAAAAGCTACTGATTTTTCTGGTGTAAATTCAAAATAATTAGGTTCAGAACAAGAGTTAAAACAAAGAGCCTTATGTTGCATTAACTCATATTGTTTATTCAGAGTTTTAACAGCCAAGCCTTTCATTTCTACAAGTTAAGGTGACTGACAGGGTTCTTCATAGAACTCTAGGGTGTTTTGCTCATTACTTTATGAGAGTTTCAGCAATTACTTCAGTAAGATTGAATGTTTTCATAATTTTATTTTCTTCAGCTAACCTTCACTATAAATATATATCTACAATAAAATAAGACATATATAGCTATAGTATTCCAACTCTAGAAGGTCATTACTCTATTATTATTTCATTCCTTTAAAAGTAATAAAGTTGCACCTCAGCTACTACATGGGATTCGTTTAAAAATGATTAATTAGTATGACCCTCTCATCTTCTTAAGGAATCATGTTTCCCAAGGATTTATGTGTTCACTCATGCTGTCTTCTTGTCAGAAACGCACAACATTTTGTTAAGACTATTGTAGCAATGTAGTATGCACCTGAGACAAAGACAATAAATATCAAATTATCACAGCAGAAAGACTAAACTTAAACAATCTGCTAGGACTTGAATGCCATGGCTCAGCCTTTATAGCAGAAGCCTTGCTGTTTCTGCAGGGATCTAGGCTCAGTTCCTAGCATTTTCATGCAGCTCACACTGTCCTCACCTCCATTTTCAGGAAATCTACTGCGCTGTTCTGATTAGCATGGGCACAAGACATACACATCTAGAACATACATACATGTAGACAAAACACTAATACATGTACAGTAATACAACCAAACCTAAAAATCGTCCATATTACAGTAAGCACTACATTTAGCGTTTACCACATTTGAAATGAACATGTTTTCAAGTAAGTGGATGAGCAGAAAGATACATATTTGGTATTACTACTATCTTATAGCAATATACTTTTAATTGTAATACAAAGTAAAGGGGCTTGGATTTTTTGAAAAGATTTTGTTTTGCTCACAAGTGTTGGGAAAGGTAGTATGGCTATGTGGAATTTATGGATCAGAGAGTAAAGACTCAATTGCCAAACCTGACTTCTTGAGTTTGACCCTTGGCTACATGATGGAAGGAGAGAAAGATCTCTTGCAAGTTGTTCTCTGACCTGGCATGACCACCATAGTACAGAAGTGGTGCCCCTTACAGAAACAAAAACTAAATAAGCGCTAGTTCATAAAAATGTGTGAAAATGAATATAGTACCCCTATACAGGTCCTATATGAATGCTTACTGCACATTTTATCCTTTCTGTATCATGGACTTTTTTATGATAAGAACGATTTTTGTACCATTTTAAAGTCAGTCATCCTGGTAAGATGGGAGGTGACAGAAATAATGTGATACAATTGTATAGCAGAAAAATTCAAGATAGTCTGTTCTTCTTAAAATAAATACTCTTTAAAATTTAAAATAATTTAATTTAGGTTTTAGCCAAATGCCTTTCAATTTACACACTTTTCCTTAAAAAAAGGTTTTACCCTTTTCACTAGATTATGTGTTCAATCCTAATTACTTTTTATGGTTGTCTATTATGTAGGACTAACCTAAAGTTATCACCTTATGTTGTAATGTTGTCAAAGGGCTTATTCTTCTTCCCAAGGCTCTCTGGAACCTCCATGAAGTGCTCTTTATGCTACACTCCAGCTCCCCAGGAGAAGGGAAACAATCCTACTGCTGTATTTCAAACCATTGACATCCTGGCCATGACTTCATTTGCAATAAAAATCACAAACTGTGCAAACGCATTTTATAACTCCCTGCTTTTTTTTTTTAAAGTTTTTGTAAGAAAATGTCTGGTCGACTTTGTATTGAGAAAGTCATATACTCTCCACATAGTGGAGGCTGTGTGCGATTGAACAGAAGATCAAAAAGTACTCCCAACAGCTCATTCCTGGAGTTTTCCTTCCATTGAAATCTCCTTGCTTTTTTCCTTACATCAGGAAAATATTTAAGCATTCAATTGAAAGGCATGTGCTATAGTTCATATAAATTATTATTTAACTAATGTAATGTCCCGTCAGCCTTAAGAAAACACATGTGAACAGAGAATGGCATTAGCTTGTCTCTGACATGTGTAACCTTGCGGCATCCTTCTGAACAGCAGGCACAGATGTCTGGAACACTGAGAGTTACACAGGATCAGGAGGCTGGCACCGCAGAGGAGAAAAAAGAATATGTATTTCTCGGAAGATATTTTGACTGAACTACCAAATTCCCAGACATTTGGCTAAACATTACTCTGGGTGTATCTGTGAGGGTTTTTGTGATTTAATTAAGATTAATGTTTTGATCAATAGACTAAGCAGAACACATTGCCCTCTCAACATTAGATGGATTCATGCGTTTATCTGAAGATCCAGGAGAACAAAAAGTCAGACACACCATGAGTAAAATGGAATTTCTTTCTGTCTGAATCACTTGAGCTGTAATATTTATACACATAATTTTCTTATTCTTTCTCCAATATACTTGAACTGAACCATCTCATTTGTCTATGGAACCTGCATAGATTAAAGTAGAACCATATTTTGTCTTCTTGATCACAAGCCATGTGACTAGATCTGATCTACATTTCTGTTCTTCTGAATGTGAGATGCTGACTTAAACTAGCTGTCCACTGTCAGTTCTGCTGAGTGTCTGAATAGCAAGTGCAAAGTCCAGGAAATCTCATCAATCTCCATAGTCCCATGAGCCAGCACACTGAAGCAACCCTCTATTTTCTCTCTTTCAGTACATAGTCAAATAAACATCCACTTGTTTCTCTGGAGAAACCTGGCTATGGTCTGTGATATGGAAATAGACCCAATATGATTTGCAGCACAATTTTGGTTGATCTGTGTTCATATCACATGTGAAGTTTTCCTCAATATGATCACTCCAAGAAACCCTGAACACAAATAATAACTCGGTCTTTGCTGGATGACTTCACTGATTATTTGAAACAGTCAATTTATAACACAAAGTGGTTTAATGTTCCTTTGGCTTTTTAAACCATAAACATGAAGTGTTTTTACTACGTTCAAAATCATCTGGATATAGTTCTCTAAATACCAAACTGAATGGCCCTTAACTTTTTGACAATGCCTAGTTGTTTACAGTGGAAGAGTCCCCTTGTCTAGGCCTCTAGACTTTCATTGACATCCCTGTGAAAGTTAGAGATCAAAAACTATGATCTCCCATCTTGTTTACAGAATAAGAAAATATACCATAGCATGTGCATGATAAATTTTAATCATGACATACACTAACATAGCCTGGGTAGGTGTTATGATAATGAGAATATATATATATATATATATATATATATATATATATATATATATACATATATATGTATATATATATATTTGAAAATATATTTCAGCTACATAGCCTTTGTAGTTTTCTATTAGTACCATAATATTACCAGATACATGAAATTAGTACTGTATGCTCTGTCAACTTCATGTTTTTACAGTGTCTTAAAGGCACAGAATTGCTATCAGTTTTCTTTCATTGTAAGGTTGTGATTAAGTTTCGAACCTTTTATTCAGACTGAAGTCATTTTCACATTAGCAAATTTGCCTTGCATATACCATATAAAAAGTTGTATTCAAATTTGGTCAGAAATAAATACACATGTTGTATATCAAACCTTTTAACTTGGTGATAAAATGTCAAATTTAGAGACAGAAGCCTGTTTTTCTGTCCCTTGTGACAGAGAATGACCGATTCACTTGGAATTTTGCTTATGTTTTTTAATATTAAATAAAAAGAAATTCAGCTATAACTTGTTGCAGTGAAATTGGTTTGGCAAACACTTGAGTTAGACAAAACTTCTAAGATTTAACGGTTTTTACTCTGAATAAATAAATGAATGTCCTAAGATGTAGGTAGAGGTGTAAAACAAAATAAGGGAGGGATTAAAGTCACGCTGAGCTGTTAATAAATCACAGGGGACTGGAAATGTATAAAGTGACTATGAAAGCAATGTGTATAAGGTCAGGAATATGTACCTACCTTTTGTATATTCAGGTACAGAATCCATAAGATAAGGCAACTGTATCTGAGAAAAGAAGTGGACATGTCAAGACTTACAACACAGTAACAAGAGAAATTGTGTGTGAGCACGAACCATGGGTTATTTAATCAAGTAAAACAAAATAAAACAGTTTTCTTTCTTTTTTTTTTTTTTGGATTTTTCGAGACAGGGTTTCTCCGTAGCTTTTTGGTTCCTGTCCTGGAACTAGCTCTCTTAGACCAGGCTGGCCTCGAACTCACAGAGATCCGCCTGCCTCTGCTTCCCTCGTGCTGGGATTAAAAGCGTACGCCACCACCACCCGGCTTCATTTTTTTATAGACACTCTAAAAGTATGGAAATTCTTGGATGGACTTTTAATTTCTCAGTACCTTTTTAAAAAAATTTAAATGCAATACAAAGCTTGTGATTTTCTTGAATGCTTCAGTCACTGTAATGAAACAAACAAAGAAAAAGGGGGGATACTGCTTCTAACTGCAGTCGCACAGGATGTTTTCAGGATCCTGAAAACATAATTGTTATATGAGCCATAATAAACTAAAGACTGAATATGTGTTTTGTAGATCTCTGTATGTCTGTCTCTCTAAACACACACACACACACACACACACACACACACAGACATGCATGCATGCATGCACACACATCAGTACTACAGTCTAACTTTTTATCTCCAGTAGAGAAACCTACTCATATCTTAAGAGAAACTTTGCTAATTATTATATATTTTCAACAATGAATTAATTTCATTTTATTGAGGCTAATACCCTATGTTTGCTTGCTTTGTTTTGTTTTAATCTTGTCTGGATAAAATAGGTTTTCAAATTATATATACATGCATAAACTTAGGAACATTTAAGATATCTTCAAGGATGAATAAAGGAATCAACATCCATGCCACAGGACAAAAAGAAAATAAAAACTGATTTTAAATAACACTTTGTCACGAGTTGGTTTACTAGAGTTTCTGCAAATGTCTCTTTTGTGCTTAACATTGCTTAACATTGCTTCCAGGCTCCCATTCTAAATTATTTGTGTTTGAGTGACCGTCTGGAAACACAGCTGTAATCAGACTGCTATTTAAACATTATATAGATTAGCAACTGAAGAACATTCAAGATGGATAGTATGTTTTTATATGTTATGAGTTAGTCAAGTAGTTTAAAACTTTAGAATCATTGTTTGATGAGATATTTTATTTGTCTCACACATATCAGGAAAAGAATTTACAGGAATAAAAATAACACACTTCATGTAAGGACAAAGTCGGTGTACAACAGGTCAGTCCTGGGCTTTTTCCAATGGAACGTAATCATGCCACTACAATGAGGACATTGTTGTCCCCGATTTTACCTACCTGGAGCACTCATACATTAACACAGAGAGGGCCAACACGGAAAAGCCTAGTGACTATAAACTTCTGGTCATAAATCTAGCAAGGGTTGCAAATAGAGCAGTGCAAGAAGACATCAAACTGAACATCAGAATTAAGGTAGGGGCTGGGTCAATGAGTAGACATTTCTCTTTTATTTTCACAAGGATGAAAAGAAAGGATTTAGAAAACTTTAAAAATGTTTTTTTCAGTTCTCAGTGTTTAGCAGTTGAGTAATTTGCCTCCGTGGCATAAGCAGACCAACGTAAAAGTACCAAATAGCTTAGTAAATAGTGATGTCTTGATAACTTATTGAAAAAACACTATATATTAATTGATTCTTAAATTATGATCCACATACTAACAAGGTGAGTGTATCCATGAGACATGGTGCAGCAGCTTTCATCTTGGATCAGAAGGAAGACTGTGAACCTCATGACCTGCTCAAATAGACGTCCAGGTTACATCATATTCCCTGCTGAGAAGACAGCTCCACATGGTTAGGATGACCTGGCAAGCCATGTGGTACTCACTGATGTGGAAACTGAGTTAGCCTGACCAGTCCACGTAGTGTCTGACCAATGTCCAACTTTGTTTTTAACTGGAACACTTAAAGTATCTCCCTGGACACCTAACAAAATCACTCATCAGCACTGAGCTGCTTTTTGCGTTCAGTTTTAGATTCACAATGTAGACTGTTTACTGCCACACTGACTTATGGACCTGATTCCTAAACTTGGGAAACCAGAAGGACCATGACAGCAGAAGTACCTGGGTAACACTGTAAAGCAAACATATAAGGCCTGAATCTTAATGTTTAATCTTGGTAATTTTTCACTTTTCTGAGTCAAATTAAAAAATATTTCTCAGAATATACAATATAAGAATCTCTTATTCCAGGGTGGGTAGGAATGTGGAGACACCATGCAAGTTGTTGAGGAAGAGGCAAGCATAATTATAATATATATTGTCTGAAAAAAATTTTAATTAAAATTACATACAATAAAAAGAAACTTGATGTTAACCTAGGAACAGCCCACAGGGATGGTACAGAGGTACAGTCATTATGTCTTCTGATGATGAAACCTGTGGCCTTTTAAGATTTAAACCAAATTTCCCCCTAGTTTCTAGATTCATGGCTCACTCAGGTCAGTTCCCTTTGTTAGCAGTCAGTATGAGATGTATTTCATTGAAAAGAGGGTTTACTTTCTCATGACTGTGACCTTCCAGTGCTCTAAAGGAGGGGTTGGGAGTGAGCTTCCATTTCATCTCATTTTCACACTGCAGTAACCAGTTAACTGTACAAACACTGTTTCCCCTTAACAACCAATATCTTATACACAATAGAAATGTGTATTTACTCTTAGCTCAAGACCTTGGTAAATTTTCACATAAATTAATAAGAGAACGCAAGTATGAGAGTCTTTAAAAAACAGTGTTTGTTATCTACTGCTTGTTCAATATACCATGAGCCCCAGGAGCACACACATTAAAAACTCAGAATATAAAAGCAAAGTAAGTTAAAGTGATAATCAAGAAAATCAGTTCACTTTTAAGTATAAAAAAATAAACGGGATGGCAGAAAATTCTGTACAAAACTTTCAAAATATTTTAGATAATAAACAATTCTGATAAATATTAACATTAATACTGTCAATGCCATCCTTATGACCTTAGATTCAAGGTTTCTCTGTGTAATCCTAGTGCTTCTGGAACTAGTGCTATAGACCAGGCTGGCCTTGAACTCACAGAGATCCACCTGCCTCTGCCTCCTGAGTGGTGGGGTTAAAAACATGACCACAACACCAGGATAACAAATACATATTTTTAATGGTTATTTTTTATTTTACTGTGTGTTTAGCTGTCTGGGCATCACATTTCACATACAGTAATATTTTAATGTTGTTTAATTAATAGCAACACATTTAAGAAAATATGTCACAATGGTGACAAAAGATGTATATTGTACATGTGAACACACACATGGACACACAAACACACTCATACAAACAAAGCAAGCAAGCAAGTGAATAGAAAGAGAAAATAAACTATAAAGCATTATCTAATACGGAGTAGTTTAACTATTTCTAACAAATGATTTTTATGTTTTTAAAACCCTCCAGAATTTTGTATTTTTGTAATAAATGTCTTATTGTAAATATTTTATTATCCCCTTACATATATTTTCTTTATTAGAATACAGTGCATTTGTTGGTGCATACTTAACTACTGTTTTGCTTAGTGAGAAAATTTACCTCATCATTTTCTGTTCCTTTCACATTGGTCATTACATTGCATTCTTAGCACTTCTGCTTTCCTGTAAAAAAAGCTTTTAGTGAAGTAGCAATTTTCTCTTTGGTCATATATCACTGACCTATAACATATAACCCTAGGCAGCCAATTATTATTTTTATAGTGGCAAGTATTGCTTTTTATATAATATTTGAATATAAATATTGATATTGTTGCACATCAACCTTAAAATGTAAGATAAACCTATATCTGCTTCATGTCTCTATGCTAAGAATAACTATATCCGTATCACACCAAGACATTTTCTATCCCTGGGAAGGAACATGAAGGATGTGCCGGCCATATTATTTAATTCTCCATATAAATTTTTAATTTATTATTTTGTTATACCTTATGAGCTAATGTTTGATTTGTGTTTAGTAAGGTTTGTATACAATATATTTTTATAACATTTTCTCCCTGTCCCCAGTTCTTCACATATCTCCCCCACCTCTCTACTCAAAAAAACTTCAGGTTTTATTTCTCTCTCTCTCTCTCTCTCTCTCTCTCTCTCTCTCTCTCTCCCCCTTCCTCCTCTTTTTTCTTTCCCTCAAGAAACAGAAAACATAAATAAAAATCAAGGTAAAAAAAAAGCAAACAACACAAAACACTTTTCATTTTAGTATGTAAGCATTTGAAGGTTCTTTTAAAAAGTTTTAAGTATATTTGACCTCTTCTTTTAATTTTAAATTTCACAAAATTTTAAATATATCAGATATATTTATTATATTAAATCTAAGCACTCAAGACTGGGCATCGTGGCACTGTTTTCAGCAGAGATAAGCATAACATCACTTTGTTGCCTACACCAATCCGAAGAACTCGCTTTTCTCTTTTGGAGCATCAACTCTGGTAAAAGGCTTATCCTTAGACTGGAAGCAGAAAAGAGTTTCAGAACAAACAAATAAACTTAGAGTTTATCAAAAATGAAAAAAAAATGGTGCTCAGAGAAAGAATAAAGCCTGGGTGTGGAATTCTCAAAGAATTTAAATTAGTCTTAGGAGTGGGCAGATATATCATTTTGGTGCCTCTTCAGTTATATCTGAACGGATTGCTAAGAAATGTTTTCATTTCTTTTCCCTTCTCCTACAAGGTGGCCTCAGACATGTAATCGTGGGTAGGATTACAGTCTGATAAAGTCAGGAGCCACTGTGTTTGCAGGAAGGAATGAGACATGTCCTTTAGTGTGAATGGTACTTTCAGCCAGATCCCTAAAATTTCAGGGTAAGAGCTAGGAAGAAAAAAAGGCTTTTAGCCGTCAGCAAGTGTTATCTGTGTTGAAATTCTTTATTTCTCACTGGCAAATCTCTAAACAGAATCTACTTGAAGTGATTCTCTTCTTCACAGGGATTCATAGTTTTCCTTACTTTTCTAACCTACCTCAGAACAATCTTGTAAGACCACTCAGCACTTGGAGGGATGAGGCAGTGGGCTGTGGGTCTGAGGTCAGCCTGGACTACACAACACTTTTGCAACCTAGCCTACATTACACAGAACATTCTTGTTTCCCACACAATCAAACCCCCACAAAAACAAATGAACACAAAATAGAGCTTGCATGAAGAAGTGCTGAAAAGAAAACCGAGGCTAACAAAGAAAAATGATGGGATGATGTTTTCCTGTGATAGTTTTTGGGGTGGGGGACAGCTTAATAGTTAAGTGCTTGCTGCATGATAATGGAGACCTTAGTTTGAAGATTCACCAACTACAACTTCTGCGCTGATGGCTGGAGATAGGGCACCCAAGGCCAACCTTGCCAGCCACTCTCACAGAAATGAAGCTTGGGTTCAGAGACCAACTCTTGTGATGATGATGATGATGGTGGTGATGGTGGTGGTAGTGGTAATGGTGATGATGATGATGGTGATGATGGTGGTGGTGGTGGTGATGGTGATGATGATGATGGTGATGATAATGATGATGGTGATGATAATGATGATGGTAGAGGAAAACAAAAGGTGAAAACACAAGGCATCTGCCTCTGAACTTCATACATGTATACTCAGGTGGAAAAACGTGCATGCACATTTCACACACACACACGTGCTTGCATGAGCAATTAAACTAAAAATATAAATAAAAATAAAGTAATGTAGAAATAATAATTTGGATGTGTTACATGACTTGAGACAGAAATATTTCTTTGACCTATGACTTACTACTTTTCTTATTATAACTTAGTAAATCTTAGAAGTAAATATCTCTCATTAATTTTACCAGAAAGTAAGACAACGTATCACACAGTGAAGTATGCTGTGTTTATATTGTGTATTTATGGTGCTTATTTTGCATAATCTGTAGGTAACTGCTTTTACTAGAGTTATAATTTAATTATTATTTTTTTCCTTTAGAGTTAATTATCAGACACTTCATTTGTGTGGTCTGAGTTTTTATGGTCCCTGTGTCACTTCAACTTTATTCTCAGCTGCAAGTTGCATTCTATGGATATGCAGAAGTGACTCTTCATCTGGTGATGCAGTGATTCCTAAGATGAGCTTGCTAGAAATCTTTTCAGCATGCTGGAGGCCTATGAGACAAGTTAATATACAAAAGGAGAAAGATTTGTCAAGTTGATTGGAGCAGACAAGCTTTTGATGTCACTTTCCTTTTTTATATATGTGCAGTCAGTGTTTTATTTTATACACACATACGTTATGTAGTTGAAATGTATTTATCCATGAATAACAAGTATGTACATCTCCTTCCTTCCCCCATTCTTCACATATATACAGCCAAAATACTTCCTGCTAGAATTTTGTGAGTTACAATGCAAGTACGTTTTCATAAAAAGAAAAGGCATAAATATTTTTTTCTGTGCATAAAATGTTATAAAACCCGAATGTACACAATTACACAAACTCCAGAATACTATTTCAAGATTATAGTAAGTTACAAGATACACTCTTGTATGTGTTAATACAAATGGTTCTGACTCAAGGTGGGCAAGGCGTGGCTGTTCCTGGGGCTAGAACTAGCCCAAGATGTCACTTTTCTTACCAAGGTGGCAGTCTTAACTTCTGTCACGTCCTGAGAAAGTCATCTTAGCTCATGGGTATGGTTCAGAAAGAAACATTCCGGAAAAGAATGTATATGATGTATATTTATTTTGAGAAGCTATCACCCAGCCAAGATAGAGAGGTTAGTCTATTCACATCATATTGTGTGTGGGAATCTTTCTAGAGAAAAAGCAAAGAAACCATAAAATTAAAGAAAACATCTATTGGGCTTTCAGACACTCAAAAATGCCATCTCCTTTTCCTCTCTTCTGGAATATCTATTTCTGTGGAAACTCTTTCTGGGATCTCTAAAATAAAACAAATATCAAAATCAGTTTTTTACCCCTTCTTTCTAAAATTTGCCCGCATCTGCTCTTGAGGTTCAAGTTCAATGCAAATTGGGGGAAATGCTGTATTACCGTGGAGAATGATTAAATTAAAATGGGACCACCATGAACTGAATTCCTCAGTCCCTCCATGTGATCTGTGTCTTTTATAAATAAATTATGACATCTTTAGAAAGTTTTTATTAAAGACTTTAAAATACTCTGTAATGCCTAGTCCAGAGAAAGAAATTTGGACGTTAAAACAATCAAAGTCATATGGAATTAACTGTCTGAGTCCATGTTATAGTTAAACCCAAGTACTTGCAAAATTCTTTACTAGAAAGATTTGATTCAAGAATCTATTATATTACTCAAAAAAAACAGCTTCATGAACTCCAATTGAATAAATAATTTACTTAATTTTAACACAGAGGAAAAATTACACTGTAAGGTTTTTCTTTTGGGGATATTGGTGTGTAATTGCTTAGAAATTCTACCGTACCACAAAAAAACTGAAGGGTAATGCTGCTCTCTATATTCCTGACAGAAACACAAAGTTTTCTCTTTTTTTTAAACCTTTCCTTCTTGTGGTGAGCGCTCCCTATTAAATTTAAAAAGTATATGCTGAAACTCTGTTTAAATGTGTACTTTGTATTCTTTTCCAATTCTAATTCTTTGAGTGCAAAGTACATTCCACACATCATAAATTAATACCGAGAAATCTGAATGTACCCCCATAGAGTCTCTCAGTGATGTCTGGAAAGCCAGGCCCTTGTTTATTCTGTGGGTGGCCACTTTGGTTATTAGTGGGGGTAACACTGGATGCCTTGCCCCAGATTTATGAGACTTGGCAAAGGCCTTGAGAAAACAGAGTCCAGTTTGTCTCAGCAGAAAACATTATTAGATACTAAATAAACATTAGTTTAGGTAAACTTGGTACTACTCAGCGCAAAGGCACACGTTCTTATTCAGATTTGCTCTGATGGAGAAAAGGCTTCAGGAGGGAATTTGGTTATGGAAACCACAAAGAAGGTCCATTTAAGTCATAGCTAAAGCTGTGTCCTTAGGACACCTTCACAATTCTTACTGGAGAGCAGTGATCCTCAGCCAGGGATGGCAAGCATCATGTCCTTCTTCCAAGGGTGAGAGATCAAGGGAGCACTCAATCTTTTAAAAATATTGCAGAATACCCAATAGTGCAATGATTGATTTTCTCTGGATTCCAGCGAATCTTTGAGAAATGAAGCATATTGTGCACTTCATTAACATTTAGTTCTGAAACAGATGATGGACTGCGGCAATTTTGAGATCGAACATAAGGAGGTTAAAGCACGCTACGGAATAACTTGAACTTCTCTCTCGTCGAGAAGTGATTGTCATGAAAAAGATGGAAAGGGGAGTGAGTGGCTTGTGTGTTAGGTTTACAAGAGAGAGCTGCAGCAAGAACAAGAAAAATAAGTACAATTCATTTAAGCAGTTTATCAATTATAATGTTTAATTCAATTTTACTGCTGTAAAATAGATCTCCATGTATGCATGTATAAGTGAAAACACCCAAACAGATACAGAAAAAATTGCACAGTAACAATTTAAACTGGGGAAGGGATGAAAACATATCTTAATTTTCTTCTTTTTGTGTAGCTGTAATTTTAACATCCCGGATTCAGATTTGCTGAGAAGTATCACATTTGTTTCCAAATAGT